TGTTTAAGTGGATATAGTCCCTTTCTTTCCCCACATATTATCTGATAGTCAAACAATAACTGGATTACAACACACGAGGGGACAAATGATGGAAGTCGGAGCAAATTAATGGAATTTATTAATGAGGAAAAATGAGCCATAAAACGAGACTATTCCCACCAGTTACATTGTTAGAATGCAGCTCAGCCATTACTCCGCTTGTTAAGCTGCCTCAGCATCACGGGGCTGTCAGAAGGGCATCGCATGAAACCCTGTCTGTCTGGGTGGGTGGCTCGGGGAAGGTGGAAGTGAAATAAAGGCATATCACGTCATGTTATTCTATAGAGGTGAAGAGGTCACCGGGACAGCTCGGCCCCCGGTCGCTGCTGCTTTGGCTCCAGGGGGCCACACGGGGGGCATCTAACCGAAAAGTGTGAGAGCATAAATGTCTTTGCCCCTATATGAGCATCCTGAGCAGACACTATTTAAATGCTTTGTCCTCTAACTCAGGGACACTGCGCATCTCTGCCCCCCCCCCACACACACACACACACACACACACACACAGTTGTCGATGCGCAGGCTCATTTAACAGCCCGAGGAACATGAACAAGCAACGGAAACCATTAAATCAAACCCCGCGTTTAGCCCACATATTGGGTGCCAAGTTTCTCCGCACAGTCCAGGAATCTCTAAACAGGGTTTAGAGGTCTTTGAGAAGTCCCCCTTTTTTCTCCCCCCCCCCCCTCTCAAGGCCCGGATTGGTCACAGTGCGGCTCATTTGCATGCCTCGCAGTATAAACCCTCCCGCAGACACTGCAGCCCTCTTGCGCTGAGCGAGAATCACACCTTGGCAGAGAGGGAGGGAGAAGGAGCGCGTCCACAGTGCGCATTGACAACATATGGGATATTTATTGCTGGCTTCATACAAAACATTAACCGTCCTGGGAGAATTGAGGCGAGCGGGAAAGTAGCAGCTGCTTTGTTCCAAACTTCGAGGCTCTGCGCGGACAGTTTGCCGAATTCCAGATTCTTTTGGAGTGAATGTGCCAAGATGGGGAACGCAGGGCGGAACGGGCTGTTGGTGCTAGTGTGCGTCGTTTTGACGAGCCCGGTTCTGGTCATACAAGGGAAGACGGTGAAATACCAGACGTTTGAGGAAGACGCACCGGGGACGGTGATCGGAAACTTGGCCACGGACATGTCCTCCACGGGCTCCCGGACCAATTTCAGGATGATGAAACAGTTCAACTCCTCTTTCATCCGTTTGAGGGAGAGCGACGGGCAGCTGGCCACCGGAGAGAGGATAGACAGGGAGCGCATCTGCAAACACACCGCGCACTGCCTCATCGCGTTCGACGTGGTCAGCTTCTCCAAAGAGCAGTTCAAACTCATCCACGTCGAGGTGGAGGTCAAGGACATCAACGACAACTCCCCCGAATTCCCCCGGAAAGAGTCGAGCCTGGAGATCTCCGAGAACACGGTGGTGGGCACGCGGATCCCGCTGGACTTTGCCGTGGACGAGGACGTCGGAGCGAACTACATCCAAAGCTACCAGATCTCCGTCAACAGTCACTTTTCAATCGACGTGCTGAGCAGGGCCGACGGGGTTAAATATGCGGAGCTGGTGCTCATGAAGGAGCTGGACCGGGAGACGCAGGCTTCTTACGCGCTGGGGCTGGTCGCCATGGACGGTGGCAACCCGTCCCGCACGGGAACAACGCGCATCAACGTCAAGGTGAAAGACTACAACGACAACAGCCCGGTGTTCGACAGGAACAGCTTCTCCTTGGACCTGCCCGAGGACGCACCGGTGGGCTTCCTTTTGCTGGACCTGAACGCGGAGGACCCAGACGAGGGGCTGAACGGCGAGGTGGTGTACGGCTTCGGTCACCAGGCGCCGACGGAAATACGGCAACTCTTCAGAGTGGACAGGAAGACCGGGCGTCTCACCCTGGAGAGCCCAATTGACTTCGAAAGTAAGACCACCTACGAGTTTGACGTCCAGGCCACCGACCTGGGGTCCGAACCCGACCTCGGCTATCTGTAAAATCGTGGTGCAGGTGCAGGACGTTTAACGACAACGCACCGGGAAATCTCCATCACCCCTATGACGTCAATCACGGCGGGGATAGCGTACATCACCGAGCCGGCGGGCCAGAGAGAGCTTCGTGGCTCTGGTCAGCACCTCGGACAGAGACTCCGGCGCCAACGGGCAGGTGCACTGCACGCTGTACGGACACGACCACTTCAGGCTGCAGCAGGCGTACGAGGACAGCTTCATGATCGTGAGCACGAGCCCGCTGGACCGGGAGAAGATCCCGGAATATAACCTGACGGTGGTGGCGGAGGATCTGGGCTCCCCTCCCTTCAGGACCATCACTCAGTACACAATCCGACTGACGGACGAGAACGACAACCCTCCGGTGTTCAGCAAACCGGCGTACGAGGTGGCCGTGGCGGAGAACAACGCGCCTGGCGCGTACATCGCCACGGTGGTGGCGCGAGACGTGGACATGGGGTCAAACGGGAAGGTCAGCTACAAACTGGCAGACACATATTTCATGGGCTCCCCGATCTCCACCTTCGTGTCACTGGACCCCGCAAGCGGGTCGCTTTACGCGCTCCGCAGCTTCAACTACGAAGTGATGAAGCAGCTGGAGCTCCGCGTTACGGCCAGCGACAGCGGCTCCCCGTCGCTGCGCGGCAGCGCCGACGTCTACGTGAGGATAGCGGACCAGAACGACAACGCACCGGCGATCACTCAGCCGCCCCTCCACAACGGCTCCGCCGAGGTCCTCCTGCCCCGGGACGCACCGAGCGGCTACGTCATCACCCGGGTGGAGGCGCGGGACGCGGACGAGGGCGTGAACGCGGAGCTGTCCTACGGGCTGGCCACCGGAGAGCCCTCCGTGTTCTCGGTCAACAAGGCCACCGGGGAGATCTACCTCAACCAGGTGCTCAGCCACGAAGTGGACCAAACTCTGAGCGTGACCGTGACGGTGAGCGACAACGGGAGGCCCGCGCTCACCTCCACCGCCGCGCTCCACTTCCTCATCATCGCGGGCTCCCCGCCGAGCGACAGGACAGTGTACCAGTCGGGCGGCGGGGACGAGGTGCACGCGCAGTGGGACCTGTCCGTGGTGATCATCGTCGTCCTGGCGGGGAGCTGCACGCTCCTGCTGCTCGCCATCATCCTCATCGCCACGACCTGCAACCGTCGCAAGCGGGACAAGAGCGGAGAAGACAGCGACTCATACGGCGAGAAGGGCGCGCTGGAGCGCGGCAGGAACCACGTGGCGGACAACCCGCTCCTGCCTCTCCACGGCGGCGGGGTCGAAGCGGGCTTTGAGGGCCACTCCTACTGCCGCCAGCCCGGGGGCTTCATGACTACGACCCCAACTGTAAAAGACATGTGCTCGGCCTCGGAGGACGGCAGCGAGGTGCCCTGCGTGTACGACTCGGACACCAACAGCAAGCCCCCGAGAGGGAACAAACACGAGGTGAGACTTCTGGGAATTGTGGCTTGGGGGTGTACAAGTTGCCCATAACTGCGACGTGTTTGTCCAGCATGACGCTAACCTCTGTGTTCTCCCCCCTCTCTCCCCCTGCAGGGCTACTCCACTCTGCCCGGCTACGGGAACGCCAAAGAGGCTGTGAGGCCCATCACCATCTGGAAGGGGAACTCCTACACCACCATTTCCGCCAGGGACCCGGCCTTCAGCGGCAAAGACAGTGGCAAGGGAGACAGTGACTTCAACGACAGTGACAGTGACGTCAGTGGAGAAACTGGCCTGAAGAAGGATGGTGTTGTCGTTCCTCCCATGGGCGGCCAAAATGGTGAGGGCATAATTGCAATTGCAAGCAATGGCACAACCTCACCCGTCCTCCATAATGGTGTTATTACAGTGCTGTGGTTCTAAATCTCAACCCTATGTCCCTTCCCTGTCCCCCTTTAGCTCTGTGGGCTTGCACCAGCGAATGTAAGGTTCTTGGACACTCCGATCGCTGCTGGAGCCCCTCGGCAGTGAGAGCCCACGCAGCCCCCTCTCCTGCCCCCACTCTCTCCTCCTTCAGCGGCATGTCCAAGACGGCCTCCCTGCCCCGGGACCCCCACCGCCGGGACAACTACTACCAGGCCAACCTCCCCAAGACGGTGGGCCTGCAGAGCGTGTACGAGAAGGTGCTGCACAGAGAGTACGACTACGTTCTGGTCACCCCGCCCCGGCCCGCGAGGGTACAGGAGGCCGGCGATATAGCCATGGCTGTTTACACACCCACCCCGACACACCGTCCCAACAACGACGTCTAAGAACGGGGCATTGCACACATGTACACTTACGCTCACACTAAAAAAATGTAAAGACTTAATTTATGCTTCATTGAAAATTATAATACTGTACATTTTTAAAGTTATTTGTTGCTGTGGAGAGTGTGCATATAAGTTGATATCCTAATATGTATAATTATGAATTATGTCAGTGTTTTGTAATATTGTAAGAGCCCCACTTGATGGCGATTCAATCACTTTGAGACACGTCGTTGGACATGAGTGTATCATATGCAAGTTTTGTACATACAGAGATTTTATTTTTTATAATGTAATAACCAAGCAAAGATATGTACATATGGATTGTAATTATTCACTTTTACGCACGCTGATTATTTAAAAATGGCCCCAGAAACGGTGCAGTTGGAGGTCCGTGGAGCCACAGTGGAGTTTGATAACAATGTCGGAACATTTGAATGCAATAAGAAGTAATTGTACAGGACTTTCTTTTTTAACCGTCACGCTATTCTAAGGGAAAATAAACTTTGAAATACTGTTGTGATCACGTGTGTGGTGCGTTTGCTCTGTAACACGCGGAGGGGACCGCGTGGCGCATTGAGACGTCAGCCAACAGGCGTCGCTGTTAACGCGGCGCACGGCGCCGTCGTCCTTGCGCGCCGGAGAAGGTCACTTCACGGTTTTTTCCCTTTCGGTGGATACTTGTGCTGGCGTGACGCCAGAGCGCGCGCCAAGGTTGTCCTGCAAATCATCCTCATTCTCTCATTTTTATGACGTAATAACTGCGTTTTACTGCCTAAGACCTGCCTGTTAATACCGGAATTAAAGCTGCGCAGAGCCTTTCATTAGACACACATAAATCAGCACCTGCACCGGAAATAACCGCAGTAGACTTCATGCGTAAAAGCGCGATCACCGTTTGTCTCCGAAGCGCAACCAGCTTTTATATGAACCAGGATTCTTGTTCCCGAAGCAGAAGTTGTTATTGGGGGAAAACGCAGTTTCTTGGTTCGGGGGAAGAAGACGGGAAAGCCGATCTCGTGCACCGTGATGTCAACACACTGGAGAAGACGTGAGACATTCCTACAGGTCAGTGACCCGCCGTCAGTATGGGGGGGGGGGCACATCGGGGAGGAATACTTTTGTGGAGGGAGGCACAACTTTTGTCCATTAATCCCAGTTTCAACATTTTGTAAAACACGACCTGCCTGCGCGAGGTTGTGCCCTTGCTCCTCCAGGGGGAGGGAGAGAGGGTGAGAGGGGGAGAGAGAGAGAGAGAGAGAGAGAGGGAGGGAGAGAGAGAGAGAGAGAGAGAGAGGGAGGGAGGGAGAGAGAGGGAAGCTACTGCTCTGGGTCCCCTCAGGTGTTTGCCTCCAGTCATGGACGGGAATTCAGAGAAAGTGCCGATCGCCTCGGCGGGACCAGAGGATGTGCAGCACTTTATGCCCCCGGTGAGTTTTCTGTGGTGGGATTATTTGGTGATGAAGGTCTGATGCAGGACACGGGGCGGACCACGTCCGCGGGGGCCATTGGAGGTTTGACCAGATGACCAAAAACCCTCTTTACACTGTGAAGAGGGATCATAATTAAATGAATCCAGGTCAAATTGCGTTATTGGGCGATATTACTTCATGATGCTTTGTTTGAGGACATGTGGTCGTTTTGGGTTCATTTTCTTGTATTTTTTTTACGGTAGGCCTACTCGGCCGTGGCCATGAAGCCCACCGCCACCGGCCGCCTCCTGAAGGCCGGGCTCGCTGTGCTCATCGCCGGGGCTTTCCTGCTGCTGCTGGGGGCAGTGGGGGCTTTCTACTTCTGGAACAGCCACGAAAAACACGTAAGAAGAACAATTCCACACTTCCGCCTGCGTGTTTCATAAAGGAGCCTCTTTGACGGACGTTCCGTCTCAGAGGGAATCGCTTCTTCATGCGTGAATTGATGACATACATTTACGGTTCTATTAATGTTACATGTGAGACATTTAAAGCAAATATCAAGCATTTAGAATGCCTTTTTAACACAGTCAAACTCTTTTTTCAAAAATAAAATAAAAGCATCCAAACTGCTAAATAATGTCATTTCACTGTGCTTTGGAAATTCTTCGTAAATGTTTGATTGTCACTAGCAGGGAAGAAATCAGGCTGCATGTCAAAAGCGTCACTTGATTGAAGAGATTCCGTTTAGAGACAAGAGAAATTAAATGATGACATTTTGAACTTGTCTGAATTGAAAGTAGACTCAACTTTCTTTTTTGTAGAAGGCAAACAGTAAAATGTAAATTGAACGCTCCGGCCTGATGGTGCAGTCTGCTTGGTGAATGGGGGCGTTGTGTGTGTGTGTGTGTGTGTGTGTGTGTGTGTGTGTGTGTGTGTGTTGGAGGACCCTGGCAGGGGGGAACGGGGCCTCTCAGGTCCGGCCGATGCTCCAGGAGCAGGGAGGAGAGCGACCAGAGGAAATATGTAGCCTTTCTGATGGTTATTTTCTTCCAATAGAAAGTTGTCAAAAGTCATTCAGACAGCATGAACGTCTCCGTCAGGTCATCGTCACCCAGAGCTGCACCGCTCGTGCTCCTCCGCCCAAGTTAGAATGAACACCTGCGTCTGAAAGAGACACCCAGAGAGGAGACGTGTGTGTGTGAGGGAAGCTTCGAGAGAGAAGAGGTGGGGGGGAACTCACACCCAACATGTCAGTCTGTGTGTGTGTGTGTGTGTGTGTGTGCAGGTCTACAATGTCCACTACAGCATGAGCATCAATGGAAAGGTGGAGGAGGGTACAATGGAGATTGACTCGGCCAATAACATGGAGCGGTTCAGCACCGGCAGCGGGGCGGACCAGGCCGTGGAGGTCCATGACTTTGAGATTGTGAGTTGGATCAGAGACTCGTCGGCACACCGGGCGGCACTGTGAGCAAAGTGGAGGCCGATGAGATTTGCTGGAACATTAATGTCCCCTGTGGGGGGACGGCAGCCAGCAGTTCACGCCGTCTCCCTTTGGGCCACTCGGTGTCAAGACGCATCGGCCCTCCAACTTTCATTAAATGCAGACTGCTGGTTTTCAGCCTTTAATTAAAGGCCCTAATCAGCCCAATCAAACGAGCGAAGCAGCAATTGTGGTCTTCAGACTGTAACAACTTGGACTTTTAATCAATGTGTCCCTGTGACTGGAATGTTTTAAATCCTCAACCTAACGTCGTTAAATCAAAGGTTCATGGAGGCTTTGTGACTCTCAGCTTCTTGTCTGTCGTCTGGCTCCTCCAGGGGATCACAGGGATCCGCTTCTCAGGGGGGGAGAAGTGCTACATCAAGACCCAAGTCAAGGCCCGTCTACCCGATGTGGACGTTCTCAACAAGGACTCCATGACATTTGACCTGGTGGGTTTGTACCGTCCATCTTCTTCTTTCCACTTCAGGACCTTCACAGACGTCGAGGCTTTGGTGTAAAGTTCTTCATATGTCACAGACAGTTTGTTACCTGATGATCTTATTGCCGAGTGATGAAAGTAAATGGTGTCGATTTCTCCGTCAGCAGCTGAACATGCTCCGTCTCTTTAACACTTATCATCCTCATCATGTTCTCATGGGCCTCCACTTCATTCTCTCTGGTATTTGTGCTGAGTCTACTAACCGTGTTGCTACCCAGCCGTGTTATAAAATGTTGTGAAATATGTCGTATTCTAATAGAAGGATTGGGAGAGAAATGTAAGTAAGCAACAGAATGAAACTAGAGATCCCTTAACCTTTACATGAGGATTTATCACTACGATACATGCAAACTATCTCTACCAGGACGGTGAACATGGCGACCATTGAAACCGCTGCTTTAGCTTTAAGCGTTCAGTAATAAACGGATCAGGAGACGGAATCTTCCTGGTTTGTTAAGCTTTCTAATACAAGACAGAAAAGAAAGACAATGCAAAGTACAGGACGACACCCGGAAAGCCAAACATTGTTCAATCTGTATTTAATATACATTTAATAATTCATATTATTAATTCATATTATCTATTCGCCAATAGATTCACATTTTAAATCCTACAAGTTCCCCTTGTGATGTCCAGCTGGCGCACGCCGAGCCAACGACAACAGGGAGGTTTTATGTGGGTTCCCGTCTCGTAACAGCTCGGTGGACTCACAATCACACAACGCATGTGTGTGTGTGTGTGTGTGTGTGTTGACATAACGCACACACACAGACACACACACACACCACCGTGTGTGATTGTTCAATGGAGGCTGTCTGATAATTAAAAGCATTTAGCTCTGCATAAGTCTCACATCCACATGGATCCACATCAGCCCCCTCATGGACGCTACGCAACACCCGCACGCACACACGCACAGACGCACTCACACACACGCGCGCACACGATTCATTGTCACGCAGGGCTGCTCTTATTACGTCTCTTTGCCTAAACAGATCCTTTATTTGACGTTTGTGCCTCTGTGTGCGTTTTTGCGTCTCTTTGCCTCATAAATGGTCGTTTAGCTGCGCGTGTTTGTGTGCGTGTGTGTTTGTGTGCGTGTGTGTTTGTGCGCGTGTGTGTTTGTGCGCGTGTGTGTGTTTGTGCGCGTGTGGAGCAGGACGGTGTAATGGTTGCTGCAGGGTGGTCATTTGCTATAATTTAGAATGATGGCAGTTTGGGTTAGATAAGCGCGCGCGCACACACACACACACACACAGATAAACTCAGGATCCTTGGTTTCATTCGTCCCTCCAGCGAGTCATTTAAATTGGGCCAAAAAGAAGGAGAAGAACAAACAGGCTGAACGCGGCCGTGGCCCCTACGGTTTGGCCCCCAGGAACTAAAATCACCCCCCAGAATCGCCTCCATACCTGCAGGCTGTGGACACGCAGTACGTACATGTTTACTAAATCCTCATTAGTTCATCTGCAAACCCCTCAGGTGCTGATGAGTCCTGACATCACGTTTACAGCTCAATGTGGGTGCAAAGGGAACCTGCATGCGGGGGCCTGAGGGGCTTCCCATTAATGCACATTAGACCTGGACAGGATGCGGAGACGGCGGTTCATTTAAAGACGACGTCTAGTAACCACGTCTGACGCTGGGTGCTTTGTCCCCCCCGAAGGAGGACGAGGTGATGCCGGCGAAGTTGGAGGACGATCTGATCTGGGTGGCGGCCGACGCTCCGCTCGCGGACTCCGGCTTCCTCAGCAACAAGATAAAGGACCTGTGTGGAGACCTGCCGATCTTCTGGCTCCGACCCACCTACTCGACCAGTAAGTCACCGTTCAGACCAACGGGGAACCCACAAAACAAAGAGGGTACAAGTCAAACGGCCTCCACAACACCGTTTAACGTCGCAGCACAGAAAGGAAACGAGCTTGAAAGAAAAATACGAGTCCTTTTGAAGTTGTGGAGCAACCGAGGGTGCCATTTTTAGCATGCAGGGGGAGGGAGGGAGCGAGGAGAGGGAGCAGGGACGGGAGGGGGGTTCAAAGTTCTCAAGCACATTTATTCTACTTCATCTGAAAATTATAATACTGTACATTTTTAAAGTTATTTGTTGCTGTGGAGAGTGTGCATATAAGTTGATATCCTAATATGTATAATTATGAATTATGTCAGTGTTTTGTAATATTGTAAGAGCCCCACTTGATGGCGATTCAATCACTTTGAGACACGTCGTTGGACATGAGTGTATCATATGCAAGTTTTGTACATACAGAGATTTTATTTTTTATAATGTAATAACCAAGCAAAGATATGTACATATGGATTGTAATTATTCACTTTTACGCACGCTGATTATTTAAAAATGGCCCCAGAAACGGTGCAGTTGGAGGTCCGTGGAGCCACAGTGGAGTTTGATAACAATGTCGGAACATTTGAATGCAATAAGAAGTAATTGTACAGGACTTTCTTTTTTAACCGTCACGCTATTCTAAGGGAAAATAAACTTTGAAATACTGTTGTGATCACGTGTGTGGTGCGTTTGCTCTGTAACACGCGGAGGGGACCGCGTGGCGCATTGAGACGTCAGCCAACAGGCGTCGCTGTTAACGCGGCGCACGGCGCCGTCGTCCTTGCGCGCCGGAGAAGGTCACTTCACGGTTTTTTCCCTTTCGGTGGATACTTGTGCTGGCGTGACGCCAGAGCGCGCGCCAAGGTTGTCCTGCAAATCATCCTCATTCTCTCATTTTTATGACGTAATAACTGCGTTTTACTGCCTAAGACCTGCCTGTTAATACCGGAATTAAAGCTGCGCAGAGCCTTTCATTAGACACACATAAATCAGCACCTGCACCGGAAATAACCGCAGTAGACTTCATGCGTAAAAGC